TCTTGCCTCTTCCATTCTTGATGCTACTGGCTGCACTACTACTAACACTACTCCTACTACTCCTACTACTCCTACTACTATTACTACTACTCCTCCTACTCCTACTCCTACTCCTACTCCTACTCCTACTCCGACTGCTACTGCTACTGCTACTGCTACTGCTACTGCTACTGCTGCTGCTGCTGCTGCTACTACTGCAGCTGCTGCTACTACCTACTGCTGCTACTACTATTGCTACTTCTTACTACAAAACCCACTACTACTACTACTACTACTACTACTACTACTGCTACTGCTACTGCTACTGCTACTGCTACTGCTACTGCTACTGCTACTGCTACTGCTACTGCCTACTGCCTACTGCCTACTGCCTACTGCTACTGCTACTGCTACTGCTACTACTACCACTAGTAAGCCTACTACTACTACTACTACTACTACTACTACTACTAGACTACTACTACTACTACTACTACTACTACTACTACTACTACTAGACTACTACTACTGCTACTACTACTACTACTACTACTACTACTTCTAGATTCTACTTCTGCTGCTTTTATGTAACCCACCACTGGCACCCTGCAAACGCAGACGCGCACGCACAACAAAAGCCTCATTACTTGTGGATGTAGCCGCAGGAATGAAACCATACTGAAGCCCACGCTGCATGAACTCGCATGCTGCGGCAAAGAGACATTCACCCAAAATACTGGGTCTGGCTTCCTCGGATGACCAGGCTCGGAAGCTCTGCAAATTGGGTACATGGTTTGGAAGCCTGAGCGCTGCACTCTTGGGCGGGCAGGTCAAACAAAAAGTCCAAGACACCAGCAAACAACTTGTGGCTCGACCTAAGTTTTCCTGGAGAGGTTGGGAATTCGTACTGTTCAGGCTCAAGCATCTTGCTCGAAGCGCTCGTGAAGTCCAGCAAGGTGATCCGATCTACAAATGGGCGCCCCGTCTCCTCGAGTCGGAGGTCTTGCGTTTGGCTTGGGACCACATCCGACCGTGGTTCAATTCGCAAAGCCCTCATGTGTTGCTTCGAGAATTGAAACTCATTAACACTGTTCTCCACTTGCAAAGGTCGGTACGGCCTGGCAGTAGGCATCTCCAACCATCTGCCGCCAGCGTGGGGGCAGCTCCTCGCATCAATTTCAGGTTTTTGTTGGGGACTCAGTGGTACTACGTGTGCCTTGCTTGGTGCTCTGTGTCCTTTTCGTTGAAACTCCGCGGTGAGTTCGGCCTGATCCAGAGAGACGTTCTGTGATCCCGGACAGTCGGCGGAGGGTCAGCCGTTGGGAGCTCATTGACGAGTTGGCGCGTCCGTTCTCTCTCTCTCGCTCTATACCTCTCCCGGCTGATGAGGACTATCAAGCTCCCCGTTCCCAAGGCCCCGCACGATCTTCTATCGGGATATAAGGGTGATGAGTCGTCAGGATGCATCGGTCAAAGCATTTTTTGTACATATGACAAACTCATGACGATAACTGGTGTCGAATTCCTCTCTCTCTCTTTGTCTCTTTCTCGCTCTCCCCTTGATTGGAAATGACGGCCCGCCCAACCACCCAATTTTTTTTCCTCTCTTTCTCTCTCGCTCTCTTTTGTTTCGCACGAGCAGTGACTCAATAGTAAATTCACAAGGCAAAACTAAACACTGACTGGGCTTCCAAGTGCAGCTCAGAAGCAAGCCTCACCCGAAAATGGATCGGCTGCACTCGGCAGATAGGCTCGTGCACACATTACGCGAAAAACTGACTGGCGCACCACAGCACAAGTGTGCAGCCCGTCATTGCAAGCATTGGCTCTGGTTGTCAGTGTCAGCAGGTGCACTTTGACCCAGCAATCGGGTAGCATAAGATATTACGGCGTAAAGCAGCACCCGACAAATGGGAACTGCTCACACCCAGGTTTACCCCGCGAAGCCTAACTCCAGATCACAAATGGGCATAACTGCATGAGTGCATCATCGAGCACAACATCCGACAAAGAAAAGAAGGCCTACACATGCCTAAACCATAAGAATGACAGGGACGTCAGCCGTATGATGCCGTATGGTTTTGTGCTCATGTCGGCAGCCTGCCACAAGCCAGTTCAATCGAAATAGGAAGAAACTATGTTCGATGCATCAAGGCTTTCGTGAAAACGTTTCGCCAATACTATAGACATATGGCAATTCAAGCAACTGGGTTTTACGCGCTAACACACACGATCGGAGTCACACATCAGCAACGGATGTGAGGGACCCCCCGGCATTGCATCTTTCGAGGGTCGCTTCCACTGGTTTTCAATTTGGCTCCAAAAGAAACTTGACCGCTCCTCTCCACCTTCTTGCGGTGTTTAGTCACAACATCCCCCCTCGTCACGCCCCGATCCGCATCGAAACCCCATGGGCACACGGTCCGGATGTGGATTTCAACACATGTAGCGAGATGAATGAAAACGCCGCGTGCCACAGGTATTAATGCCCATTTTGCAGTCACATCACGTCGCTTTCATCACATCAGAAATAGCCAAACCCCAGTTGCACATGGTCCGGATGTGGGTTTCAACAAATGTAACGACATGACTGCAATGGCCGCGGGGCGCAGGTATTCGCCTGCACTTGCAATCACATCACCTCGTGTCATCACGTCAGCATTAGCGAAACCCCATGTGCACATGGCCCGGTTGTGGGTCTCAACACATACGACGAAATGATGGCATGTGGAGCTGCTCCTGCCGGGCCACTGTCTTGTCAAGTTGTGTATTTTGCACTGATTCTCGGGTTCTAACTTGTGGGCTAGTGCTCAGGCGTGCGGGACGCCCGTGCGGGCTTGCGCGAGCACCGTGCGACCTCCAGTTATCACACATGTATTCCACTTGGTGCTGGTCGTAAGTCGCCTCACGCCGTCGAAAATAGCGTTCGAGACACACATCCGCGGCATCACAACACATCAAAACCGGGCATTCCCCATCAAGACACTCGACGATTCCACAAGCACCCGTTCGAGATACAAGTCGCATCACGGCACATCAAAACACCAGCCATTCCACCATGAAGACTCTAGACGGGAACGGCTGTGTAGACGCTCAGTTCCACAAGCACTCGATCGAGACACACATACGTGGCTTCATTGCGTCTTACCGGAATCCCCTCTTGCACGCTGGATCGATGCGACTAAACGCAAGGCGATGCGACTTAACCGGGGGACCCAGTATTGGATTCTCGCATTTGCCTGGAGCTCGGTGCTGGTGGTGTGGACCTGAGTTCAGTCATGAGGACTGCATTCGGAAAAGCAGAAGCAAATGCCGCGACCCCGCCGTCCTCGGGTCCTGGCGTATGCCGAGCGCCGCCACGAGGGGGCGAGGCACTGCCCGAACGCTCGGGCCTGGCCTGAGTTGCATGTCGCTTTGCCAAAACGTCCATAACCGTCCCAAACTTGCGAAGCGAGGCACTCGCACCGAGCTCGTCAGGCTCCGTGCCGTTGCCGGGAAGCTCGGCACTGGGGGCGTGCCACGCGCAGGAATGCCATCGGCTCCAGATCTCGGTGAAACTGTCGGAACTGCTCGCGGCGGTGTGCTGCGTCCCATTTTTGGCTTCGGCGGGGTGGTCCTGCCTGTTAAGCCTGCCGAGCTCCTTTCTTGTGGGGCATATCGGCTCTGAATTGACCCCGCTGGCCGTGCTGCTCTACGCTCGGGAGGCTCACTCCGCTGGGCCCAAGTTGGCCGATCATTCCGCCAGTGTGGTCGCATGGGAGGAGGCGTCACCGAAGGGCGCTCTCTCTCTGCGCGCTTGGCTTTGGGCCGTGGAGCCGATGGCCGGGCCTTCGCTCGCCCCGAGCCCCGGGAGCCCTCTTCTCCCTTGAGAATGGACTCGACCTGAAGCAGGCGATTCCGCTCCTCCATCGATCGCAGATTCGCTTCTTCTTGCAGTCGTTTGTTCTCCGACTCCAAAGAGATGATGCGACTCTTGAGCTCTGCATGGGACTGTGCCAACCGAGCAAGCGTGTCTGAGTACAGGCCCTGTCCAACATCTTGTGGCTCCGGAAACTCTTGACGCGGGCGCTCAGGTGTTGGCGGCAGTAGCCCCAAACCTCAGCGAAGTTTGCGATTCGCCAAAACATGCAGCATACTCCAACTTGGATGCCGAGGGACCAGTCGGGCTCGGAGGGTTGTCAGAAGCTTGGAGCAGCCTCTGATTCGCCTTCTGACCCGGGCTGGAATGTCCCCGTGGGTCCTGGGCAAAGTTCAACTTTCACGGCATCTTTCTGCGCCTGCAAAGTCAAAACCTGTTAGGCGTCCTTCTGCAAGTCCTCAACTGCTTTCAACTCCTCCGTCTTGCTATGGATCTGCTCACTGAGAAGGTGCATGCCTGCTGCACTTACAGCATGGCCCTGGGCCCGTGGAGACATAAAGCGGAACTGAAATGAACTGAACATGGCTCTGCCAATGTGGCATAGCTCTGCCAGAGTCCCTCGTGGCCTCGGGTCAGCAGTGACAGCTTCTCCTGCAGGTCCCGGGAATCGCTGGGCCTCTCCACTGCCTCCGCGAAAGTGAGAACGAGAGAAACAAACCGAGTCAATCTTTGCATGCTATTCTCGCAGACATTTTGTGTGCGCGAAGTTGGGAGGGGTTCCCTAATTCATGTGTCAGTCCAGTCCATGGTGGCATGTCCGTCCAGGAGCCTTGTATGGGCGTGGCTTTGAGAAACTTCCTTAGCAGAGGCTCTGCCTTCGCGATTTTGACTCGTAGCCTGGCCCTTTCCCTGATGACTTGTTGGGGTGTCAGGATGCTGGGCCGTGCTGGGCCAGCTGCGTTGATCCTTGAGCCGTCTTCGGTAGCGCCGTCTGTGTCGAACCATGAGATATTCGTGCAGCGACGTGCAGCTCCAACGGTCCCATCAAGCTTCTACATTCCACATAGCTCCTCGGTCCATGATCAGACAATATCGCCTTGACATAACATACATTGCCAAACTGCTGCTCTCCGAAAAAGTCGTAAAGCCTTCGCCTGCACATACAAGTTGCAGGCCTTGCCGTTACCCAAGACTTGCAGCACCTGGACCCAAGGTGTAAAGCGCAAAATCCAAAGCAAATGCCGCGTTTTTCTCGGTGGGGGCACCTCGGCGAGTTTCGCGTCGTCGGCCCGGTTTTCAGCACCGTCTACCATCAAGGAAAGCGCCTGGCAAGACCGTCTAAAGCGAATCCAAGACTTTGAGGATCATGCCTCCTGCTCGATGATCTCGATGCATTGCCTTGCGGCGGTCTCTTGGAGCCTTTTTGTTTTTGAACAAAACGCACCGTCTGCATACCGGAGAAACGGCAACCATCCAATCACAAGCGAGAACGACTTACCGCTATCAACAACAACATACAGTCAGACCGCTTGACGATGTCTAGGTCGTTCTCGTCCGCGGCCATCCTGCAGCGACAACCGGCTGCCTTCCAGATGTCTTCGGCAAGACAGCAGACAGCGTTCTTTCAGTTGTGCTGCACAATCAACTCACCAGCAGCAGTGCGTCACTGACGCGCAAGTGCTCACAAGCTGCTGTTGCCAAAAACCTCCTGCTTGAAAAACCTGCCTCGGACCCGAAGCCGTCTACATCGCTGCTAAAGCCGAGAAGACGGCTGCGGGATTGATTGTCACTGCCCCAGGCGTCAACTTGAAAACATCGCGTCGGACATGCCATCCCTTCGCCATGACAGAGTGCTCATACCCGCAGAGGCATGCTGTATTCCGTTGCTGGAAGCCTAATCGGACGGCAACCCGTCATCAATTGCTCTGCAGTGTGTTCACCCCTCCACTTCGTCGAGTTCCGGCAAACAGTCACTTCTCTGATGTTGACGGTATTTGAAGGTCTTCATCTATGAATCCGTGGAGATACGATTTGCGGAACCTCGCTGAGATTGTCGCAGTAAGAGAAGAACTCGAGCACCTCTTGACAAGTCTGCATGACTCACTTGATGTCGAAGAACCCTCTGTGTGCCAAAACGGCATGTGGCTAATTGTGGCTGCTGACTGGCTGCCAACATCAGCCGTGGCACTCCACAATATCTTTGCAGAGCCAGGAAATACCTGCGAGCCAGTGGCGAACAGTGTTTTCTCACTGCGCAGAGCAAGGCTGCTGGCGTGCATCTAGTGCGGAAACACGACACAATAGCGGCGCCTCCCTTCCCGGAAGAGTCGAGACCTCAGGGCCAGACATCGACCGCATCCTTCCTTGCACGAAGCACCCAAGTCAGCATGTGTTGGACAAACCTGGGTCGACCACCCGGTCTCTTTCCGCTCAGTTGCGTAGGCCATCTTAGCCAAAGCAGGCGGAAGGGTAACAGAAACCACCACGAACAGTGCTAGAATACAGTCTTGGGCCAGGACTTTGTCTGCCTCAGGCATCTCCTTGGATGCTACGTTCCCATTGATCGAACCCAGGACAGCGACTTACGGGGCCTTTTCAATAAGAAGCCCCAAGATCGTTCCGTATCTACGACGTGAGCGACTTCGACCCTCTCCCTGCTCAGGCTTTCGTTTGCTTGTGTGCTTACAGCACTGCATTGATCCCATGTGCTGCCAGGCAACATAAGTGCCTCTCGGGTTTCGGAAGCTTTTAAGCTCCACTTTGAAGATGGCCTCCGCTCTGCAGCTCTTAGTGGCGGGTCCAAGCCAAGGACAGAGCTTGATGAATGTCCTCCTCTCCATCTTGGATGGAAAGCTTCAATGCAGGATCGAGACCTGAGCTCAATACACCTCTAATCAGGAATGCCTTCGAAGTTGAACTCGTCGGGCACAGGAGCTCAATACACCTCTAATCAGGAATGCCTTCGAAGTTGAAATCGTCGGGCACAGGAGCTCAGTACACCTCTAATCAGGAATGCCTTCGAAGTTGAAATCGTCGGGCACAGAAGGCCTAAAGTGGACCATAAGAATCAACAACTAGTTGGGGGCTAATGCATGTGTAGTTGGTGACTTCGCCCAGAGCGGCAGGAAAGGCCCCAGCACATAGATGATGTTGAGCAGGTGATAATCGCTCGCTCACCTTTGGGGAAGCGAAGAGCAAACCGGGCAAGGCACACGCTGGCCCGTCCCTAGCCGGCTGATTGTACTGTAAGCCTGCAGCAGCAGCTATATTCAGGTTGGCTGGGTTCAATTCTGAGAAGAGGCAGCATTCTCGAACGCAAATACCGAAAGAAAGAAATGCCGAAGTGGGCTCCCGCTTTGCTTGAAAGGATGCCGCGGAGCCCTTGTGGCTGTGGCCGTGAGCCCCCCTCCGTGATCGACTTAGTCTTTAAGAATGTCTTCAGCATTGCAAGTGCCTTCGTTCATCTGCCGGACAGCAAGCTCCAACGCATCGCAAACATAGCCATCGCCTTCAGGTGTGCGCTGAACAGCATTCGATCGAGAATGTAGCCAACAAGGAAGCTCAGCTCTTGAGCTCGAGCTCCGAGCCGGCTCGAAATGTGACTTCCTGAGAGACGGGACATCAAATTAACGAATGCAGCTCGTGTAGCAAGCTTGCAGCATGCATCTTGAACATCACATAAATGCACTGTCCTAGTGTGCTAGCATAAGGCAAGCGCATTCGGTCCATCGAAGCAGGCGATCAGAGCGCCTGTGCTGCCCTTCACTGCCTTGCCGAAAGCGAGAAGGAGCTTGCAGCGTTGCAGTAAGAGCAATGGCTAGCTGCGATGCCGAGTTTCTGGACGAGCTTTCCTGCCTCCACGATCAGAACGCACTGTGCAGTGTCGCGGGGCGACTCGTTCTTGACACCCTGGCCGGTGGCTTTGACATGGGCGGAAGATCAAAGGATACGGGTGTCCAGTTCAGTGCGGAATCCTGTTCCGGCATGTTTCGCCCGAAATCAAGCTTTAAATTCCTCACTTCTTGCTCTCCGAGCGCCCTCCGCCGGCAAGCGTGTATCTACCTGCTCGGTTCGCTGGCCAGCGATGTTGCGTTTGCAGAAACACAGAGAGATACATATGATACATATATGGATACATGTGTCTGTATGTATGTATATGCAGATATATGTATGTATAAATATGCGTATACATCTCTTACATATATACACATAGAAACCCTCTCTCTCGCTCTCTCTCTCTCTCTATGCTCACGTCCCCCCCATGATCCACCCGAACCTGCTTTTTGTAAGCAGTGAATTATGGGGATGTGGGCAGGCTCGGATGCGAAAACATAGGCAGGGTTCAAATTTCCCCAAAATTCCCGAAGCCTGAAATGCGAAAACATCTGGCAGAAATCAAATTTCCCCAAAATTCCTAAAATCTGAGCAAACTATAGCCCCGCATTCCCCATAGATGATCCCTGCCAATGTTTTCGCACTTCAGGCTTCAGGAATTTTCGGGAAATTCGAGCCTGGCAACACTTTAGCAACCTCGACGCGAAAACATCGGCAGGGATTGCAAATGTCACTAAAATTCCTTGTCCCCGCAGTCCTCATAGATGCCAGGATTTGATTGTTATTGTGATGTTGCTTTAATTAATATTTCTACGTTTAATACTTCTATTTTAAAATCGTATAATTATATTGGCAGTATTTGTATTGTTTGTAGTGGTGCTGATGGTTGTGTAATACATGTTGTCCCTATTACCTGTTNNTTGTTGCAATTGTAATTGCAGCAGTACGGGTTGCGGTATTGTTGTTGTTCTTGTTGTAGAGATGTGGCTGAGTTTTACAGTTACAGCTAGTCGAGGCCTTTGATTCTGCATTAGAACAGTCCTTTCTAAATATATAGTACCTCGCTCATAGATGAAGGAGCTATCGCAGTGTATACTTTCAAAAATGATGCTGTTGTATTTTGGAGTATCAACTGAAGGAGACCGTTTGTTCCTGCTCATGGTTTTGAAAGCCTCAGCTTGTCTCTGTCTTGTGAATACGGAGAGACAGAACAGTTTCTTTTTACTCGATGAAGATGGGAGGAAGCTTAGGCGAGAAGACAGGAGCCATTTTATGTTTTGTTGAACGATGTAGCAGCTGGCAGCTCTCTTGGTTTTATTGCCGCTAGTATGGCACAAACGAGTCTGGTTATTTGTTTGCATGGACCAAGTGGTCTTTTGCTTCTAGAAAGGAGCAACGAACGCTTTCCGATATATTTCGTCCTAACGCCCGCGAAGCATTAAATGGTATACCGGTGTACTTGCATATTCCTTATCGGGAAAAGAAAGGTTGATCTTTACTGGGTCTTGCTTTTGTTCTTGCTGCAAGCAAACCACATCTGACTTGTTCTAGTTGTAACTGGCGTTGTTTCATTCCACATGATATTTTTTGGCATTCACACTCGACCAGTTATATCATGTGGAATAAAGAAGCGAGTAGCTGTTCCATTCGTGCTACACAGCGTAAGAAGCTCGACAAATTTTACTTCTGACTGAATGTATTTGGAGTACAGCTCAGAGAGACTAGTTCTTTTCCGAACCATCAAAATAGAAAACAGTGATGTTGCCAGTTGTAAGAGCTCGTTGAGTTCTCGCCACTGATAAGGGGCTCAGCAACCTTCTCATGCTTCTTTGTGATGAAGAGAGGATTTCTGATAAATGAAAACAACACCAACTACACAGACACGATTGAGGTTTCCAGTGTCGTTGTTAGTTGAGCAAGGCTCAAGTCTTTCTTCCGATTAGCGTGGACGCGGAACCAGATTCTGGTTTGGGTTTGGGGTGGTTTACACATACCAACAACAAGCACAACAAGAAGAGGTCAGCATGTGTGAAGTGCAGAAACCACCGTAAATACCCATGGTTTATGGATCTCGGAGAATGCAGTTGGAGACTTAAAACTGTGGACGAACATATGGCTAGAAGGCTGGGGTGGATGATGGGGAGGGGGTGTGTGTGTGACCATATATATCTATTATAAAGGTATCACTCACTACCCTTCGTATCCGAAGTGCCGGCATCCCAGATATGCGCCAGGTGGGAAGCACTGGAGACAGATCTCCGGTGATCCGCTGCTTTGGTTCACCGATAGTCGAGTTTCGGCAGATGCAGCCCCTGTACATAGTAAAGCATAATATAGAAGCGAGGAGTGGCTGTTCTTGCGCCCTGCCCTGCAGCTGGCCATTCTCTGCAACACATGCTTTTCTATGTGCTTTCGAACATCTTTCTCGGGGCCGGGACCAGCTGCAATGGACATCCGAACGTCCACTCGCTTCAGGAGACGTATGAGAGGAAGCTGGTGTGGTCATGGCCAGTCCACAATGTTCTTCTGGTTTGAACGGGACATGCTTACAGCTTGGAAGCCAAATGAATCTCGCTGCAAGCGGACAGAATCCGGATTTCCCAAATGTGCGAAGACGGACCTCTCGAACTTGCTTTTTCTTCACCTCACCGGTCTTGTTCGGTGTCACGTCCTGCAACTGCAGCACTCCGCAACGCTTGCAAAATCACGTCTTCTCGCTAGACGCCTGTTTATGCAACTGGGCCGGTAATTGATGGTAATTGTGTCTCTTGCACCCTGGCGGGTCGATTTGGCAGCCCAGAAGGAATTCCATTTTAAAGTCTTGGCTTGACATGCCGATGCTTGATCGTAAGTACGAACATCCCATCTCAAACCCGCTGGACCTCTTCCATGTACACTTCGTGTACTTCAATGCGGATTGTGACCTCGTGCCACCATTTCTCATGACTGCCAAACATCGAGTTCTGCCCTGTCGCGCTCAAACGCTGCACATGCAATGCTACAAACAATCCCAAGCAACATGGGAGGGATTGCAAGAAAGCTGGTCGCAGCCATGAGATGCCATGACGAGTGTGCATGCATGTCTCCTTTATGCAGAAGCATATGCACACATGCGCTGTGCATGCGTGGAGCATCATGGTGCAGTGTGGTAGGCTTCCTTCCACCACGGCATGTTCTGGGCCTTGACACGTCAAAGACAAAACACTTCTATGACAAGCAAGCAGCTTCTCCGTGCGAATCATTTCCGTAGGCGTATTTTGGCGAGCACCTTTCACTTGAGCTGAAGACACCGAATTCTGCAAGCTATGAATGCTGAATGTCTGAACCATGGATCGCAGGAATGTGGCTCTTTCTCTGTACTGAAGCTTGCCTGACGAATGCCTCACAAAGAGAATGGCCTCAGCTCCACCAGGCCGCCTTTCCTGGCAGCACCAGTTGGGACCAATAGCCGAATTGTATGACACTGTATACTGATGCAAGGCGCAGGTTCCAAACGCATGCTGCAACGGGTGCTTTTTTTGCCGATCTGTATGGGCGCCCCTTCGCCTCTGGCTCTGCCAGGTACTCAGCTTTCATTGCAGACAAGGTCTGCAAACTCAATGGCCAGCATCTCCTGCCTCCCTCTAAACCTGTGCGATTTTTGCATATCCTTGCGGCCACTAGGCTAGACCACAAAGACTTTCGGAGTCCTGAGCATTCGGGCTGACGTACGCCGGAAAGCCTCATGTCAATGTAATCCCACCCTTCATCTGAGGCTCAAGTCGTAAAGAGACACACAAAGAAGTAATGCTGAGGTCTCCTCTGAAGCATCGTTTGAATGCCAGCAAGCATTCGTGAACCGTGAGTTCCGGACCCGTCCGTGCTTCCCATACTTGTCAGTACAGCTCCACATGCTGGGCAAATGAGACTCATCTGGATTTTGGGGTTTGACGTGCCCTTGGGCTGTGCTCTTTGGCTTGGCGCAGGCAAATCAGATCGCGCAAGGCGGGCCCGTACTACCATCGGTCTCCCACAATCGGCGCTGGGCATGCGTGCGCATGCCACTTCTCTAATTATCAAAGCGGGCAAGCGGCCACTCGGATGACATGCATTCGCTCCTGGTGCGACTCCTGCATGTCTCCGGTACATCGCAGGCAGCTTTGGCCCAATTTTGCTTCTCTATCTCTCTCACACAAACACACACTGTGCGTTTCCTGATCTCTGTACATCCTTTTTTCAGAAGGGACATCCCTCTACATCCTTAAACCCCCAGATCCTTCCAAAGCATTCTTTGCATCGCAAGGCTGTCTTTAAGGCAGAGTTAACTCACTGCACATCGCTTCACTCGCGCGCTCAATAGTCCATGTGCGGACAAGCCTCCGCAACAATCTGGCCTGAACTTTTGGCGGTGTTCCGTAGTAGGGGCAAACGCAGTATCGTTCAGGAACCAAGCAAGGGCCTAAAGGCCTAAATGAGACGGTGTGGGAATCTCCCGAAACGGCATACAATGGCATACAGGCCCTCTGCAGCACTGGTATATTGATTGCCCAAGCGGCGTCGAACTTCTGGTTCTGCAGCCAATAGACGAAGACGAAAAGCTCTATCTTCACGTGCCTGCAGATCTTTTCTCAACATATCTCAACATCAGCAACTTCGGCAACCAGCCAAAGCCCGTGCCAAGAGCTCGTCCGTTGCACAGTGATCTGAAGCGGCTGGCAGCACTGCAATTCACATCACAACCTCCTTCTATCATCTTCCATCGCTGCTTGCGCGTTTCAAGTCTACAGCGGAAAAGACTTGTGACTTGCTTGCAGTCGGTGTTTGGTTCGCGCTGCTGTTGGGATGGCCTGGGGAGGCCTGGCGATGTCATGCCCCTTGGTTTTGTAGGCTTCCCACGGCCTCGCATCTAGGGCCTAGGGAGTGATTCCATCCCTTTCGACTCTCGGCCTGTGTGCGCGTTCCTGATTTCCTAGATTTTAGAGCTGCTGGCTTTGAAGGCTTTCATAAAACTTTATAAGCTGGTCGATGGGCTGGGCGGTACTAGTGAAACGGACAAGAACCCACATCACCAAAATCATCAGCCTGCTAGCAAAAGTAAGCCAAATCCGTTGTTCGGTTGAGCATGCGAAGTATCTCCCAGTGTCACACTTGAACACCCGTCTCGGAGAGGGGCATGGCGCTTCACGACGAGGTGCTGCATAGATTGCGGCAGCCAGATCATAAAGCTTCGGCAAAATCTGTTCCTTAGTCAGAATCGGAAACATTCCAAGGTTGAGTCTCCAGCCTCTATGCCGACTGTCCTCCCCTACGATGTAATCCCAAATCAAGCCGAAAATCCTGAAGCGTGACTACATGTAATACCCTGACAGCGCACAGCCACTACCTGCTGGAGTGCCATTGATCTCTATGCAAGGTCCACGTGCTGTCTGAATAGTTTTGACAGTTCCCAACCGCAAAAACAACGCTCTGGCCAGGCACTGGCTTGCTGCCGCGAGGCATCCCAGCCCTTGCGATCAGGGCTGCCTTCCTCAAAAAATCAAACAACTTCTCACTCCAGCAGGCCAGTCAACGGGCTGTACACCCAGAGCTGCCCACTTTGTGATGTTACTCAGGTCCAGAGGAGAGCTCGCGCAAATCTGAACTTTCACGGCTCGCAAAAAGCGGAAGCTGCCAAGTTGCTGAGAAGTCGATGCGCGTGACGTGCAGTACATTGCCTTTGATGGGACATGCATACATGTGTGGGTGTTCGCAGGTAGGCATGTAATTGGTGGATGCATGCGGGCAGCTCGCAGGTTTCTGTCGTGGGCCGTTTTTCACATCGACATCACCCTCGGCTTTTCGCCGAGTCGACACGGCAGGTCCTTCCATATTTCATGGGCCATTATCACGAGCAGGTACTCGGTCTTGGCCCCCATGCAGTCAAGCGCAACTTTGCGAAGTCTGTTGCTATGAAGTTTGCAAAGGTCCCGATCACCAACACGAGCGTGTTAACCGCTACAAGCGACGCGCACTTAGAAGCTCCTGCACTATCCCCACTCAGCTCAAGGATGTTGGGTTCCCCGTCACTACCCCGGCTCAGGCCGTGATCTCCTACAGGATGGTGTGTTGATGCCACTCTCAACCCCGTGCGCACCTGGAAGAACCGAACACTAAGTGGAACACCATGAAAGGTACAAGGTAGGTATAACACATCATGTGATAGCATAGCGATGCTGCCCCCCGGGCTACTGGTAACGGCAACTGCACAGTGACACAGGACTTGGGGGCGGTGGCCAGGCTTGCATCCTCGATGCTTTCACGAAACGCAAGAGTTGATGGGCACAAGATGGTACAAGCTGCTTAGTATGAAACATGCCAACAGCCCGCAACACAAGAGGTATAGTTGCGGCACGGTATAGCAACAACTTAGGCTCACTCGCTTGGGCTGACGGGGCCAGTTGCTTGTCCCCCCCGCTATAAGCGGCGCGGCTCAGCGACAGGCCAGCTCCCCTCTGGTCTCCGAGCTTGTCCGCCAGTTTGACTCACGGGTGCCCGAATTCGTCCACTATTTTGACTCGAGCATGCTTGAGGCAGCGCACCCTTTGGTTGGTTTGTTGAATCCCCGGGTCTCGGCCGCAGCTCAGTGGCCCAAAGAGTTCTTCAGTGGAAGAATTATGGCAACCGGGAGTGGGCGGATACGCAAACCTCCAAACCTCCTCTCCCCCACCATTCCCGCACCCGTTCCTTGTAGCGATCGGTCGTGCCGAGGCTTTAAAGCAGAGGCACTCTCCTGCAGATCTGAACTCTCCGTCGTACCCCGAGGGCTTAAACAACAAAGAGGGCGGGGCGAGGAATAGCAGGCCAGGGAGAGGGGCTGGGGTCGCGCGGAAACAGCAGCATTGATTGTGTGGCTCAAGCCGGGTGGGTTCTGACTTCCTTCACCCCCCCACTGTGTTACTGAAGGGGGCGCTCGGGGTCCCTGATGCAGCGGCAGAGAACAACGGAGTATGCTCAGGATTTCTGAGCTGAGCTGGGAGCCCCGACCCTTTACACTAAAACCCCCGGCACAGGCCTAATCACTGCGCCCCTGCAGCACTCATCAAAGCTCCCAGCTCCAGAAAAAGTTGAACATGCCTCCATGCAGTCGCAGTATATGTGGGATATGTCCCCCGCAACACAATGACAAGGATAACCGCAATGGCAGCAATACGAGCAGCGACTAATTACTGCTCCGACACTGACTGGAAACTGTAGCATTCGAGCGCTGCGAACTGTAAAGGCAAGCCAGAGCTCCAGATTGGAGTTGTTCAGGGCGCACCAAGCCCAAACAAGGACATCCAGTGAAGTGACTGATTCCATGTCTAAACGCGGTTCTGCGCGACATGACAACTCTTGCAGCCGGCGCTCGTGTGGGTTGCCAGGAGGTCACTACTCTAGTCACATACGACTTCAGAGGCGTGCTGCAGGAGCTAACCTGTTTGGGCTCAAAAGGTCAGAGCGATGGAAAGTCCCCCATGTGTTGCTCACTAAGCTCGCCTCACCCGCTGCGGTCATCACGCCCTCTGCGCTTTGTTCAGGGAGGTCGTCTGTTTCTCCCTTTGGCCCTTGCTTGCTGCAGACTAAGGTGCCGGAGCACCCCCGCCCCCCCCCCCCCCCCCCNNTTGGTTCGGGATGCAGGCGGGGGAGGTTTTGAGGACGGGTTGAAGGTGTTGACGCGGAGCAACCCCTGAGTTTCGAGCCGACTCGCCCTTTGCCCCTCTCTGTCTCTTCCTTCCTTCCTTCCTTCCTTCCGATGGGTCCAGGTCCGCTAAGCGAACCCGCGCCAAGCGCCAAGGCGCGCCCCTCCCTCATTCGTTTGTGGAGAAAGGGCTTTGGGGTGTTAAGTCCAGGAAGGTACTCGTCGCATTGGACGGTTTGGCCGGTATTGAGGGGTTGCTGCAGAAGCCCGTCCCCGAAACTAATCCAGGCGTCGTCTCCACGCCCTTTAAGGCAATATCCTAAGTCCCTGCAGCAACCCGTCCCGAGGCTGTAGAGTACACTAGCCGGCAGCACCCCCCCGTAAGTGCCACATCAGAACAAAGGACAACACAGATGTGAAGTAATAAAGCCGTAAGAAGCTAAGTCATGTGCTGCCACCTTATAGTGCCCTCGTTCTCACAACAGCTTGCAGATCACAGTGCGCTCCGAGTAAAAAGGAAAACGCGGATCACAGTATGTGAGGACATTAGCGTGCAAAGTAGTGGTGTTATGGGGCTTTGAAGGGACTGTGATAAGGTCTACTCGGACGGGGCAGGACAGCAAGAAGTCTCTCTCTCTCTCTCTCTCTCTCTCTCTCTCTCTCCCTCATTCTCCCTCCCGGGCATGGGGACGGGTCAACGTCCCCGGGCACCAGGCCCACCCAACGTGTTATTGGGCTACGGGGAGTGAGAAACGAGTGTAGACTTACAGGAAGGCTAAGGCCATAAACTTACCATGCAAGAAGTCTCTCTCTCTCTCTCTCTTTTTCGCCCTTGCTACAGTATCAGTCAATCAATCCAGCAAAGGTGCTTTGGCCACCAGCCTTGGACCGCAAACACTGTACCAAGTCTCCTCGAACGCAGCCCAGGGCGCGGCAGTAGGTACCTTCAGGGCGCTCGTCTGCCTACCGGGTCTACTGTCGACTTCAGGACATGAGGACTCTCAGATGCTAAGGCTGCTCAGGCCACTCCTCGAACCAGTCGCATAAGGTGCTTGCAATAGGCACTGCTGGCTTCCGAAGCCGTATATAGCTGCCTAGATGTCAGGAAGGCGCACACAGCTGCACAACATCGTAGATTTCCGGAGGGTCCTGAGCTTACCCCACCAGGCCAATCTGCATCTGAGCAGCTTGTCATGGCTTGTCACTTTGCAAAGCAGTACACATCGCAAGGCATCGGAGGTCCTTGATCCGACCCATGCGATGTTTCACTTCCACAACCAACGTCTCCTGCTCAAGGACGTCAGGGGATGTCAGGGGCATGCGGACACACGGGGCGTCACGGGCTGATCCACCATTCACGGCTGATGGCTGGAAGGCAAAACTGAGAAGCAACCTGCTTCATCTCTCGCAACCCTTCTTTGCACAGCACCTTGTTCGGAGCATCGGCTGTAGATGCTGGTGTGGTCATGCGATGTCCTCTTGCCAAGACAGAGAGCATGCGCAAGCTCTGCTGCTTCAATGCTAATGCGCTGGTTGGCAGAGCCTGCGACCTCATCCCTGAAACACAAGTCCCGGACCTGAATTCTGTGTTGCTTTCGCCGGCCCTCTTGAGCAATCGAATTCACGGACCTGAATTGGTAACACGGCTGCCTCCGCCAGTTGAGAGATTCGCTGGGGCGGGGCTCTGCCGTTGAACGTCCACCTCGTACTGAATATGGCTACAGTGGTCACTGCGACTACGGCACGCCAGGACCGCCTGGCCGTGCAGAATCCAGCATCAAAGGTCGGATACAAATTATTCGTCCCAAGCAACGTACCGAACCGTACCGAACCGAACTGGACCGAAGAGAAGGCAATCGTTCGTTATGCGAACATTACGAAATTCAACCTCCTGCCGATGTCGCTGCGGAAGAAATCTCGAAATTCAGCACTGGGCTGGGTGCACAGCTGCCGAAAGCCGCCACTACTCTTCGCGGTGTTTGGTGAAGCTTTCAGCAAGTCCAGATCCGAATCAAAACCGAACCGACGCGTGCAGGCAAGCACTCGTCATGCTTAGGGCACGCTTCGAACCCCATGTGCAGATGTGGAGCAAGGCCGTCCACGAAGCCGGTGAGGAGGAAGAACGGCCGGTGCACAGGGACTGCAAGAAGCAGGTTGGCACAGCACTGCCACTGCTGTCACTACTGGAGCTGACATGCAGTTTCAGCTCTAGGCACTCTATTCAGGAAGTCCAAGAACAAGACACATTGCAACACACCACTTCAACAAATGGAACAAATAGAAACGCAACCCACAAGGGACACCCAGCCAAGCAATGCCTTCAAAGGAAATATGTTTCAAGGGTGCCTGGGGCACTGCACACAGCGCAGGCGTGGTATGCCGATGCAGTTTCGACACATTGTGCTGCCCACCTTCACGTACATCTGACGGTGGCTTGCTTTCTTGTCCTTGAAGTATATGCAGATATGATGAAGCACGCTTTTTCGGTCAGTCTTCCAAAGCTTTCCACAAAATCCTGCCGGGCAACCGACAGCATTGGTCTTGATGTCTTCACGTGGACGAGTGCCTTCATGGGGGGCAGGAAATGCCTGCCACGCGTGCATAAAAGCTGTAGTTGATGATAGCTGATGCACAGAAGCAAGTTTCTGCAGTGCTGAGAAAACTCCGGTTAAAATATGCATGCCTAGGCCAAGGTGCTTGACAAAGCGCGTGTGTGGCACCGTCGGCCGGCAAAGGCAAACAAACTCCTGGGCTCAGACCGTCAGCAAGCTGCAGTTCGCTGTGGTGGACCTCTTGACACCCTTGACAGTCTGCAAGGAACATGGTACCAAGCCCAGAATTGATGGAGTTTGGCTGCGTACCGCAGTCAGTGAGTAGATGTAATTTGGGCAGGTTGCGATGCTGCTGCCCGTACACCTGCCATGGCTCCATGCAGATCACACATGACGGCCTATCAGCCTGTACAACAGGTACGGGAACAAGTTCAGTTGCATGTGCCTCGGAAGATTCCGAATCCTGACCCCTGTCTTGCGAGACATGTGCCTGGCTGCCCACGCGCTCCTGGTAGACCTGGTGCCGATGGCTGCGCATCTTCTGGAAAAAGTACCACTGAACCAATGAAGCCAACCTTTTTACATGCATCATTTCATTCTCCGATGCTCCGTGTCGCGACGAGTGGGGTAGCAGGATTTCTGCACTTCAGAATCCACGGCCTCGATGGCAGCGTCTTCGTGCCGTGCCCCAAAATCCAAGTTGACTTCCAACCTCGATGGTCACTTGATATCTCTGTTCTGAAAATGAGGCAGTGCTCCGTGCATTTTGGACAGCTACAGGGGGACCTTAGTGTTGTGGGTACTCAACCTTCCCTCAATGCTGGACAAGCTCTGCAACACTTGGATAACGGTCGATGTAGCCACGTGGCTCCAATGTTTGGCGAAGGTCCCGAGCCTGAGCACAAACTTTCCCTGGAGCTGGGGCAAAGACAGACTAGGCATGCGGAAAGAATCAGGCAGCAATGCGACTTATAACTTGATCCGCGATATGGGTATGAACGGCGGAGTCCTGTCCCAAGCATGGCTGTCCATGCGTTGTGGATTGAGCCTCTTCCGCAGTCAAACTTTGCTTGTGCTCCGCGGCCTGCGTTGAAAGCCGCAAGACCAGCAAACCTAAGACAAATAAGGAGCAGTGGGCCTTTGCCAGCGATCTACACCGATCTGTGTCCCCAACAGCACTCATACTGATACTCTGTCCAAGTCAGAAGCTCTGAACTGGTTCTTTCGTCTGTCTCACACCTGGCACACGCGTACAGGTATACAACCGAAGCTGCATCAAACCTTGCCCACACTGGTTGAGGGTTGGACATGATAATGCCCCGATGTGTGCAGCTTTGCTCACTACTCAAAAACCCCATTGCCTCCCAATCAAGCATAGCTTAGCCATGAATCGTTAATTGGCCTCCACTGCTTTCGCGATGGCCTCGCGGGCGGCCTGATCGTGTGACGCAAAGTCGCGTGTCTTGTGCTTGCCTTCCTTCGCCCGTGCAGTTGATGTGAGGCATATTGATGCTGAGGTCTAGGCCTGTGCCGCCTCGACCTTGGGTGCCTGGAAGGCCTCGCACAAAGCCGCCTCGAGGGCTTCTGCCTCCAACAGAGCATCTCCTGAACCGCATAGCGGGTAGCTCTCCGGTACCCGACAGCCTCGCCACTCTTCGCGAGGAGACGCGCGCGCTCCGCTTGTGGCGAGACAATCTTGGCCACAGGTAGGACCCAAAGTCATGATTTGTGGAAATGAGCTGTCCTGTTCGAGGCGAAGCTTTTGCCCTGGGGAGCGGCCTCAACACTGGCGTCCGCAGCGTCTGCGAGAAGCATGTCAGGCAAATCCTGAAGACCAGGCACAGTTTCTTGACGGGAGGTGCAATCAGAACCGAGCCGCGAGCCTGGTACAGCAGCTCTATGAAGACTTCGCCCGGGTCGGCCTCGAAGAGAGGCCGACTCTTCTGAGGTGCAGTGCGAGCATGTGCTGGGCTGCCGGGCATGGCGATGGAGGCCGGCGGCTGCAGCCACGCGGCCGGCCGAGATGCGAAGGACACGAGGCCACGACCTTCGCTCCAAAGGAGCTCAAAAACGAACAGGAAGCGAGCCACCTTTACCATCCTTTACCCAGCTTTGGAGCCCGCCCAAGTCCGCCAAAGCGCAATATGCCGTTGCAATGGAGTACGAGCATTGCGGAGCAACCGAGCAATCTACTTGGGGCCCAACTTTGATTTGGCGCCTGGCTTGCGTTGGGTCTCTTCATCGGAATCGTCAACGTTGACCACCTGACATACCATCTTTACTTGGATTGCTGAAGCACCCGCTCTGAAACATTGACATGCGTCTTGAGAGCCTAAACGGTCGAACAATGGCCTCAAACTGCATGAAGCTTGATCCGACAAGAAGCGAGGTATGGCTAGCTTGCCACATCTTGCCACTATGCTCAGCGCATCTCAGCGCCTCGTTTTTCGATCGACCACGAATGTCCATGCGGCTTGTGCCTTTCAAACCTGGGCAGCGAGAACGGGCCGGGCCGCCAGAACTGTGCAGTCCAGCTGTGCAGCCAGGCCACGCAAAGACGTCGCATCTCTCAGCTCCTCGGGAAAATGTGCCGTGCCCCGACGCTCCACCAACAAGACTTGTGCGAGATCAGCCTGAAGAAAGGACATGTTAGTTTGTCATGATCGGTTTCGAACTTACACGCCGGCATGCGGTGCTGGAGAGCCTCGTTTCTGGATCCTAAAATAGTTCCTACTCAGTGTTATTAGGCGGGGGTAACTAAGAGAGACAAAACAACGGAATCATGCCCTGATGGAAGATAGACAGGGAAAGCTCACCGATCTCTTTGGTTATACAGTGCGGAATGCCGGAACGCTGCATCGGCTCGATCCAAATCCAACAACAATGCTTTCCCGAGTGCAGCGTTGGAAAGTTCAAACCCTACAGTACACTCCTGAGCCGGACGTTGAATGTCGAAGCGAGACGCCACGTCTTAAGCCCAAAGGCTGCCTGCCCGAGCACGGGTGCCGACTTTGAGCGCAGCGGTGACGCCACGCTGGCGGCCAAGGCAGGTGCCGAGTGCGACCTGCAGCGGGTTTGCACTCTCCCTTCTTGGGGAAACCCGTATCCTGCAGCGACAGTCTTTCGATATGGTCCTTCACAACGTCATGCTTGAAGAAATCCACTTCCGCTAGCATTGGTCCGATGCCTGAAGAAGCCATCAAGCTTTCGCTGCTTCCGGTCTTGTGCCGTGTCCTGAAGTCGTGGTTCAGGTTCGGTATCTTGAAAACGCTATGCCATGCTGAGTTGGAACTCTTGGCAGAAAGCACAAAGCACACGTGCAATTTCAAGACCACGGCAGTAAACGCTTTGACAGTGGCCTGAGTAGCACGAACTGCGTACGGAAACTTCTGCTTCGACCTGACCCTGGAAATCGCTGTGGGCAGCTTTCTTCGTTTCTTTTCACTGTAGTCTTGCGCCAAATACAAAACATCGTCTGACACTGGTCAGGGACAACGTCTCCCCTTTCAAGCCCTCGAAGCGTTGGGAGTCCTGCACCGTCTCCTCCCGCGCACGTTTGCGTTGTAGATCAGCAGGCTCCGGCATGCCGCTCAGCTCTACAGCGCTAGTCTTGCAATCTGGTTCTGCACTAATTAAGGCTTCAGGATGCTTCTGGTGAAGAGCTTGGTCCAGTCACTGTTGCAAGACTTGCAGTTATCGTGTAGGTGATCGGCATATTATAATCTCAGTGTATGTGACACTCCGACCTTTCCGGTTCCTGTCGTCGCAGCCTTGCAGGTTCGGTCGCATTCGACTAGACCCCGATATTGACAACTTTCCAAGTTAGAGCACTGGGCCTCTAAGTACTCGGAGTCTCTACTTTGATTCATTCCTTGGGCCGCACTGCTCTATTGTCACGCTGCAGCTTGGGAGCTCCTTATGACTTATGACCCATTCCACTTGGCCCTGCCGGCAACGTGCTTTGGGCTGTCTCAGGCCCACGCTTCATATCGCGCAGGGCACGATCGGCTACACGGCTGAGGTCGCCAAGCCTGAAGTGCACAGCTCTGAAGGGGCGACGAGCTGGGTTGCTGTGCGAGGATGCGATGCCCCTCGCAAGCAGAACAGGAATCAGAAAGGACGCACCAATCAACACGCATGGTGCTGCATTGCGACACAGTGACTTTGCGCACTTACACAGGTGTGATACGGAGATACATGCATCGTGGGATGATACACACCAGGAGTCTCAAGTCTCACTTGATAGTGGTTGGAAAAGGGATGCAGTCGAATTGCGATGCCAGGAGAGCATCGTAGACTTTAGTCTGTGTCAGTGCAATACCGGGGTCCCAAGGTTGCGTTCATCGCGCTTTTCATGCCGCCGCCGCCTCAGCGAGTGAACAGCTGAGTCCTTCTGCCAGGTCCACATGCAGACATGATGCCGGCCTGTTCGTGTGACAGCTTGCGGCAAACGAATTCAAATCATCTCCGAGATGGAACTCTTGCTGGTACCCTCTCATCAGTTTCAAGCGCTGGGCACATTTACCCTTTCCTGACCGAAATCCGTTTAGCGTCAGAAGCATTGCCTGCGGACACGGAAACCGACGCAAGTAACTCCCGTGACTAGACAGACTGACATGCCCCAAAGCCTACAGCTCGATCACGCGAGTTGGAAAGGCCGTCATCGGTCGTGGGCCTCACTTCTCTCAAAGCAACGACTCGGCTATGTCGTGGACTTACCCCATGAATCCAGTCTCTCCTTCCACGTGTGCGGATAATACCGTGACAAACCAACGATGTTGTTTCGCTTGGACCTGGGCTGAAACTCATCAACTAGACCAATGATTCCCTTCCCGTTTCCAGCAGCAGTTGCAATTCAGAGTAACATAGAATAACTATGTGATCTCCGGGTTCGTTGGTAGCACTGGGCTGCGGAAGCAATCGTTGTCCTTTTAAAACGTGCTCCACACACGTGAACGTCCCGTTGGGCACCGGACTTCGAGACTTCTTGCGCCGGCCCACATGCACCTCACGGCCAGACACACTTTGCAAACTCAGTCTCTGGATGAAAACATGTCGGCCAACAAGCATTGGCAGAATCGCGCGTGAGACGGACGGGTTAATGATACGTTATGACTTTGACTCTTGACCAGTCCTGTGGCTGAAGAAGCAGTCCAGGATTTGTCGGCGTGACATGGAGCGTACCCACGAGCGTTGCCAGAGCTGGGTCGTGTTGCAATTCCACTCGCACCTACCAAGTTCTTCAAGCTTGGATCCCAGATCTTCGTACGGAGCAGGCAGAGGGATTTCTGAAATGCCAGGATTCGCAAAACCTTAACATGTGCGACCTGGCCTGCATCTTGCATGCGCCGAAGAACTGAAAGATACCCAGATCGATGTTGTTCGAGCTGTTGTGATAGAAAGAGTTTACCACTAGCTGAATCCGCCGACTCAGGGATGGTTCTCCGACATCTGTGGACAAGTCATGAACGCTCATTTCCTCAAGATTGGCAGCATGTCCTGTGCATTTGGCGAACAGGGCTTCGAAGTCGCTGCTCGCAAGGAGGATGTCGAATGTCATGGCATCAAAAACAACATAAGCCTGCTCCGTGGCACCTCCAAAATTGACTAGAGTTGCGGAAACAGTGTCACGCTGCAGTGGTGCCACTGTTGACGCCGTAGTGACATCGTCCGACTCCCTCAAACACAGTAGGTGGCAAGGTTCGCCCTGCTCGTCAAAGAAGGGTATGTGCATCATCTCCACCTTGGGGTTGAACTCCGAACTTTCTGACGGGATATGGATGGAACTTGCTTCTGCCCTATTCGTCTCCTGGCCTTCACCTGATTGCCATCGGAGTCCACCAGGCGCACATTAAGAGCCAAAGAATGTGTCACAGGCGCAGCGAACGAATCGGCGAAAAGGCTCCGAACACGGCCTCGATCGTCCTCGCAAACCAACCTCGGCTTCCGAGAAGCAGAGAGACCGAGCGGGATATCGAGAGAGAGAGAGGGGCAGCTACAGATTCTTTTCAGTTCTGTAAACAGAGTCTGTCTTCTCAAATTCTTGCATTTCATTGGTGTTCGTGCTTTCTGCCGTGGCATCCGTTCCATGTATGTGATTCCGAGAAGTATGCGCAAGTGTATGTGCAAACGACGAAGCTCCCAATCTTGACATATGACGAAGAACCCAAACAACACAAAGCCATGGAACAATCGACTTGAGAACAATCTGTTCTCGTCTTTCCTGCCTAGAAGCTGGAGAAAGCTGGCGCCGCGGGTGCAGTTCGAGGCGCCACAAAGGAGCAGTGCCGCGATCCTCGGCGAGTCCTTCGGAACATGGCTGCTAAACATCAACAAAGCAATGTCCACTCAACAAAATCTCTAGAACGATGAGAGGCAATTGCGATTGTAACTGCACAGAATCAGAAACCCATGACGTGGAGCAGATACGTTTGGTTGATTTTCAGCACTAAGGCACTAAGGCGATTTCCGAACCGCTCCGGCGGTGCCGGCGACGTGATGAAGCCTCAGAGTTGGAGGCACTTGACGAATTAGCAGGCAATTCTGTCGGAACATGGATCTTCCGCCCGCAGTGTCATGCGAATTGGTTTGCAGTTCCCGCAGCTCGGGAATGATTTTTGCTTGGCATGTCCTTGCCAGAGCTATTTCTTTCCTGCCACTGTTGCTCAGTACCGCAAATTGGTATCGGACCCCACCGCCGAAGTCGACGACGCTTGTTACTGCGGTCAAGCACAGCATGCGTGAATGTCGCTCCAACATGCGTGTAGGAACCTGGTCCATCGCCATCTCCGGCGAGTCGGCGTGCTGTCACTGGAAAGCAGCCCATTCACACCATATACTATCACACGGCGCAACATCACGAAGGAAACACGAGAAAACTGGCTCTTGCCCCAGCCAGGTGTGGCAGGCGGGCAGCAGCGCTGCCAAGAGGCTGAGGGCAAAGCCCTCGCTTCCAAGCGATTTGCATGCCCGGCTGTGGCATCGATTTTGCGAGTGCCAAAAGAACAGAACCGTGGCATGCACACCCGCAGATTGCCAAACTAATCTCGGTCAGAATATCCAAACATCTTGGATTTTGCTGCCCCATTTGCTGGTCATGATACCTTATCGCATGCCCCTACGCACATGCTCCCCCTCGTTTTCTTCAACACATCCTCCAGCAGCTTGAGGTCGCGATCAAGATGTACAACACAATCGCAGAAGCCTGACTTGGGGATCGAACGGACAGTCTCTACCTGCATGTGTGGCGCCTGGTGTGTGTCAAACGAAAAGTCAGAAGCTTCTGTGATCTCGGATTGTGTTCCCAAATCGATGAAGAGGAATGAGACTTAGAAGGGTCCCCGCCTGTCATCAAAGCTGAAACAGCATCGAGCTTGATCGTCTTGGCCCTCAGATCGAAGCCTGAAGGTCGTTGGCTTCTTTCCACACTCACTCTCCAACAGGCAGACAAGGTTATGGGTGCTGAATCGGTTGAGAAGTGAGGCTGAAAAAGTAGCTTGAGAGAGACTGCTCTGTACCAGAAAGACCCAACTACAGCAGCCTAGTTTGCATAGGAGTTCTTGTAAGTTGCTTGCCGCATGAGGAGCCTGAAGCAAGGGATGGGTACTGTAGCCTCAGGGATGAGGGGACGGGATGTTCCAGGTGCAAGCAAGCTCCTTTCTCCAAGATTACCACTGACGCCCCCACCCCCCTCCGACCTAAACAGAATCAAGCAAGATTACATGCGTGCGCGGGAAGCGCCCCCAAACCCGATGCTAAGCCCTAATCGCTAAGCCCAAACCCTTACACTCCATAGGCTTTAAACCCTGATCCGATGCGCTCGTAACCCTAAACCTAAACCCACCCCACAGCCGTACAGCCCCTAAGCCCTGAAACCAAAATTCTAAACCGATGCTCGCGCGGGGCGCGTCCTAAACCCTATACCCCAAACCGTAAAAACCATTTAGCCCTAAGCCCTGAACCCTAAACCCAAGCCCCTAAACGGAGGATTTTGTGGGTGCTGGGGAGGGGCACGTAGATTACCAAGATTACCAGAACTTAGTGAGCAAGATTAAAAAATTGACGGTCATCTTGCCCACCACCAGTATTACCACGATGACGAAGTGAATTGGCGGTTCTCAATTACCAGCACATGTACTAGTAGTCGTCGTCGTAATTATTTTTATTAGTAGTAGCAGAAGTAATAGTAGTA